TATATCTATATCTATATCTATATCTATATCTATATCTATATCTATATCTATATCTATATCTATATCTATATCTATATCTATATCTATATCATCTCATGAGAAGGAGCTGCAATAATGAGACTGTAGCAGGTGACGGTAACGTTTGGGGAAAGGGAAGCACTAGATCGTCCTGTGATCAGGTTTCAGTGTTTGAGTGAGTCTGGACTGTGAGCCTTGCAGGCGCTTTCCCCATCCACTCTAGCCCTTCTTAGGAGAAGCAGGGCAGTACTAGATGGAGTCATTTTCCATCTTTCACCCAGAAAGTCAGAACCAACTGGACTTGGGTGTTTTACTTCTCCCAGGCTGCTTAGATTCTGATAAAACCCTCCAAGGTTACCCTGAAGAACAACAGGGAGAAATCCAAATACTTTGAACTTGCTGATGGGGGGGGGGGGGGTCAGACAAAGAGCTTGTAAACGTAAAGGAGTTGCTCCTGAACTTCCTGGCTCATCCTCAAGCTGTGCTTTTGTAAACCTGATCCCACACAGCTTGCTGAAACTTTGAGAGCTAGGTAAGTGGTCAGTTCTTCGGGTCTCAACAGAAAAGCTCCAGATAGCAATGCAAAGGTGCTGAAAATTAAACCAGTTTAAAACCATAGCTGCCAGCAGATTGGCTGGATCTTTTGAACTGAACTGAACCATGTCTACTAAAGCCAAATGTCAACTGTTTTCATGGGCTCTGAGTAACACCCAGAATCCCAGCGCATAACCATTCAATGGTTTTCACATATGAAGAACCAGGCAAAGCTTAGCTTGCCTGAGAAGAGGCAGCAGACATTAGCCTGTATGCTAGAGTTTCCTGAATTAAGTGACAAAGACCTTCCTGCAGCTTTACATGCACACACCAACAAACAACTCCAAACATCAAGACTAATGGAAGAACAGAAGTCTCAAAAGCCAAAGCTTACAAGAAACATCTCTTGATGGTGTTTAAGTGTTTCCAGCTGATTCAATTTTTTACTACAAAAATAATCCCCAAAATACAGTCTTAGATGTAGCCAAATAGAATACCTCTAAGTTGTTCATGTGAGGATTTTAGTACTGAGAGATACAATAACTGAAAATTTTAACAATCAACCTATGGGTGAACAGAAGATTGAAAGTAAGAAAAGTCAGTGACTCCAAGATAAATAGAAAATACTCTGTCTGAAAAGCAGAGAGAGTCAAGGAAGAGAACCTGAGAATCCCATGGGACAATAGCACAAAACTCTAACACTGAGAAAGAGGCAAGAAGTGGAGACGACTCAAGGGTAACTCCCAAGCCTGTGCACTTGGAAATGAGATGGGGTAGAAAGTGTGAGGCTTCAGAGGGGAACAAATGGACTCCAACTGAAAAAGTCTGGCTTTGTCTACCAAGAGTTGAAAAGCAAGAGCTTGGCATTCTGAGGAAGCTCCAGGCTGGAGATGCTGACTTGGAAGTCATTGCTTTTCACTGGAAATTTGGAAACAGAAATAATAAAAACATTAGGCTCCAGTGCAGCCAGGCAACAATAGTACATCAATCTTACTGTGGCTGTAGAGGAACATGAAAGTGTGTTTCTGACCTGGTGTGATGGGCTGTGCCTTTAATCCCAGGACTCAGGAGGCAGAGGCAGATGGATATCTGTGAATTCAAGGCCAGTCTGGCCTGTGTAGCAAGTTCCAGGACAGCCAGAGTTATAGAGAGGCCCTATCTTTAATATGATGATGATGATGATGATGATGTAATTATTTTATTTATTTACATCCCAACTATTGCTCCCTCATGGTCTTCACTTGTAGAGTTCTTCCCCTCACCCCCCTCCTCTTCACCTCTGAGGGGGTGCCCTCCCTACCCAGAGTCATCAAGTCTCTACAGGATTAGGTGCATCCTCTCCCACTGAGGCCAGACAAGGCAGCCCTCTGCTACATATGTGCCAGGGGCTTTGGACCAGCCCGTGTATGCTCTTTGATTGGGAGTGGCCCTATCTTAAAAGAGGGGGGTGGGGGAATGTGTTTCTGCATTCTGACATAGTCCAGTGAAGGTTGAACAGCTCCCATCCTGTGTGCTTGCCAAATGATTTCCATTGAGTGTGGCTGAGAAGACAGGTGACAATCACCTTCCATTGTCCCCAGTCCAAATGCAAGGGAAACTATAAAATGCTGTCTTCCTATGAATTCAGGAAGGAGGAAGGATATGACAGTTACAAAGTGTGTTTGTCACAGGAGCTAAAAGCAGAGTTTGAATTTGGCTGAATGGCCATGAGGTAGAAGTATAGATGAGCATGCCTACTGTTCTCATGATTTCATACGTGGTTGTTAATGATTTGGAATGGACTCAATGTTGAAAAGCACTGATCTCAAGTACTCCCATGTATCATCCACCTGAAACGCATCCTTCCTCGAGTGTCCATGCTCCAAGGGCCTCTGCTAAGTCTCTTCTGCTCCAATGCTCTCTCTCTCTCTTGGCGGTGCTTCTCTGTAACACCATCCCTGAGGAACACAAATGTCATATAAAATGTGGGAGCTCTTGGGATGACCCTTCTTTGCAGCTGTGAACATCTGCAGGGTCTTCCCTTCATGATGTCCATGGTACTTTCCCAACTCAGATGTAAATAACATGAAGCAATGGGTCATTCTCCATGCAGCTCTGCTTCTCTGTGTGCCTCTTTATCCTCATTTAGTATACAAATCGCATGTTTCAAAGAATGAAAATAGGAATTAAACCAACCTCAGCCATCCACTCTATTCCTGCTACTAATTATTGAGTGCCAACTATCTTCTAGCAATGGCTGCACAGTGTAAACAGATCAAAGTCTCTGTCCCCACAGAGCTAACGCACAACAAAATACCAGGCATCGAGGAGCACTACACAGAAGTGACAAACAAGCCTGGTGGGGATTGTTAGTACTGTGTTAATAGGATGGCCCAGAGTAAGCCAGGCAGAGGCATCAGGCAGGCCAGAGAGCCTGAGGTCCCCACAGATTTAAGAAGACCAAGTTGGCCAGAGGGAAGTGTGCCAAGCAGCAAGACTGGAGAGGCAGATGATGCAGAGTTTCAATTTGGTCCAGGTTTGACTAGATGTTATTGAGCAGAAAATTGATGGTATCTTGGTTATGTTGCTAAAAAATCATTGAACTGAAGGAGGGTTGACTATCAGGGGCAAGGGTGAAGGCAGGCAAGGCAGAGCCTTTGGAAAGCCCCAGTAGTAATTTGAGGCAGAAACATGTGGAGAGGAAAAGATCCAGAGCCTGCCTGGGAGGAGTCCCAGTCCACAGGGATGTCCGTGGTCCAGGAAAGTTATAATAACATGACCAGAGAGCTGCCGTATTAGGTATGTACCTATGCTCCTGCTGCAGTGTGGGCAGGAGGAAGCACCTAAGGGCCAATGAGAGTCAGAGCCATCATGGAGAGAGGACACTAGGACATGAGGAGACAAGCCTGGGAATCCTGCTGAGAGAGAAAACAGAAAGGCACTGGACAGAAAGAGCTTATTCTTTGGTACATTTTGTCAAACATGGTATTTTCTTTTGGCAGCTTAACGGAAGAAAAGAGTATCATATTAAAGGAATATGAGAAGATACCTAAGCCAGGAGTAAGTATTAGAGTTTATTAAATGCAGCTGTACTCAAAAACCCCTTTAAAAATAATACCACGCCCTGAAACATTTGAAGCACCAATAATCCACAATTGCTGCAGATGCCAAATGGAAGATGTATGTATCGTGCATAGGTACAAGCAAGGCATGGGATAGGCTCTCTGTGCTGGCGTCTGTGTTAGGCTGGGCTTAGTCCCACAGAATCTTTGTTTCTAGAAGAAAATAAGTTTCTGTGCTTGGCACTTAAGAACATCTCTTCTGTTGCTACTGCACTCAGCTTTCTGAGCTTCTCAGACCTGGTTCATAAAGACAATGAATCACTGTCACACCATGACCAAGGCAACATATTTAAAAAAAAAAAGCCTATAATTTGGAGCTCATGGTTACACAGGTTAGTAGACGCTCTCATGGCAAAAGGCAGGCAGGTGTGGCATTGGAGCAATAGCTGAGACCTTACATGGACCCAAAACTGCATACACACAAAGACACAGACACAGACACAGACACAGACACAGACACAGACACACATACACACAGACACACACACACACACACACACACAGAGGGGGAAGGGGAGGGGGGAAAGAGATGGATGGGGAGAGAAGGGAGAGAAGGGGAAGAGGGGGATGGGGAAGAGAGGGGGAGAGGGGGAGAGAGGAAGGGGGGAGAGAGGGGGGAGGGATGAAGGAGGGAGGGGAGATGAGAGGGGAGAAAGAGCAATTTGCATTTGAATTTTAGTTACAGCCTTAGGTAACTTATTTTACCTTCTTCCAGCAGTAGGTGGGAATCTCAAAGAAAACTCAGAGCAAGCTAGTCAATCTATCCACTTGGCCATTATTAGCAGTTAGCCCTTCTGAGTATAAGAAGGCTTTTATGTGTAAGTCAAGCCCACTCCAGATAATAAGGCAGAGGAAGCCAAGTATCCTGTGAGTCTGATGGAGGACACAGAGGAGAATGTGCAGATATAGTGTCAGTAAATGTGGGTGCTACTTCGTGGAAAGTCGAGCCTCCTCATGGTTGGCTGCCACATATGACTCAGGCTAACCACAAGACAGATATTCAGATTATTTGCATTTGACTTTGTCAAATCTCAAAGCTACGAGGAAACAGAATGTACATTTTCACATTGCTTTTTAATATGAAATAAAGATTCACACAGAAAACATTTAAAATATGAAGCACTCAATTTCAAAAAGTACTTCAAAACTGTCACATGCTTAGTTAACAGGCATGCTGTGGCTGAAGGTTTCAGGCATAATAAGTTTCCCTTAACATCCTGGGAATCACCAGTCTTTGAACATGTACAATGAATATGGTGAATGGGATCGTCTTTAGTTTTATTTTCAAGTGGATGAGCATTCACTTAGACTCTCTAACGGCTGTTTTCATGACTTTGAAAGGAAATAGAGAAGAAGACGAAACTCCTAAAAGAAAGCACTGAAGAACTGCGCAAAGAGGTGCTACAGAAGAGACTGGAGATCAAAAACCTGCGGGAAGACGTGGTCGTCAAGCAGAAGCAGTTAGTGAAGGAGCAGAAGGAACTGGAGGAACTGCTGGAATATCAGGTTGGCCTGAAGGTATGCTGTCAACGTGAGTGTTTAAACATTGTGCCTAGATGTATACAAAAACACAGGGGTGCAGAGTGGCCACTTCATGTAACCAGAATAGCTGTCACACAGACTCAAAGGCTGCACATCATGAAGGACTCTGTCAAATGCAGCCTAAGTTCTGGGAATCTGCAAAGGGCGTGAGGCTGTTTGAGCAGAAGAGTCACTAATACTGTCCTAATTTTCAGGCCTAGACTTGGCAAATGGGTCTCCAACATTTGCAGTAAGGGTCACAGACACACACGATTCCTTAAAGGAACAGAATGCTCAACCCTCTTGTGTCTGTATTGCCTTATACTTGTCTGCTTGATTCCACACTCCCTTTCACTGTAAAACTGACTAGGAGCCTATAATAATGTTTTAGGAAGTAATGAATTGCAATTAATTTTATTTTGAAAAATGTATAATAATTCTCAAAACAATGTAAAGAACTAGAGTTACTTAAAGAACAACTCTCAAAACTCATTGGCCTAGAAAATACGTATGATTGGCTCTGATCTTTTCCCCTAAGATCTTAAAGCAGTCAATTACCACAGACCCATCTCATCTGGGGATATAGGAACTAAGAAGAGATTCCTTTGCCAAGAACCTAGGGAGTTTCAGCTTCAGGTGCATCACATCTAGGAATCTCTTCCAAGGGCTTGTACCTAAGCTAGCAGTTGTAACTTTTTACTTGAAGAGGGGCTTCCAAATTGCCAAGTTTCAGCCCAGTAAAGCCTGCATCTGCTCCAGGATTGAGCAAGATCCTACAGAGAAGCACACCACCCTGTCAGTGCAGTGTGGTGTTTAGCTCTGATACTCAAGTGTGATTCCAGAGCTCAAAATCTTCTGAGCACCTAAGAAGGATCTCTTTCATTGCCCTGAATGCAAGGCCTACAGTGAACTTTCCACTAATGCATACAAATTGCAGATCATGAAGGTCCACTGGTTTAGCTTCCAACCTTGGCCCTGCACGTATAAGCTGTGCAACTGTAGGCCATGTGATTTGGGTTTTGTTGTTGTTGTTTGTTTTTGTTTTTCATATCTCCTTTCACAGTCTGAGTCTGGGCTCCCTGGAAGCAGTATCTAAGGCCCTCGATGTGGGAGAAATCTATGTGGCTCACAGCAGGGCAGGAGAGAGTTAAGGAGGAAGATGGGCCAGATACTGTTTCTGCTGTATAGCTCTAGTCTCAGCCTCGCACCAGAAAGAACCCTAGATCTTTAACTGAACCACAGAGGCTGTTCTCCTGAGCCAAAGAGCATTCGGTACTATCTCATTACGTCAGCTAGCCCCTGGCCACAGCTGCTTCATACTTCCTTCACCTCTCCCCACACCAGGGAAGAGGGGATCTCAGAGGGGTGCCTGTAGCTGTCCTACTCTGTCATCTGCTTTTTGAGATAGTAACAACGATAATGACCTTATAAGACCAGTGTGAATATTGGAGGAAATAAAGTATATAGGGTAGATGGTAAGAATTCTACAAAACTTAATTTTTCTCTCATTTAATTTGCTTGCTTAATTGAATGCACAACTTAACATGATTGTATTTCTTTACTAGGATGATGTGGTCCACCATCAAAGTGTTCCTGTACAAATTGCAAAGGAGATAGAAAAAATGACACGCAAAAAAGTGTATGATTTAATACTTCTATTCTAAATCCCTCCTAGGCTATCCCTCTCCCAAATAATGTGTGAATATGTTATAATATTTGCAAGTTATCATGTAAATACCTGATCATAGTCCCATATGGGCTCTATGTATCATGTTCTTTAAAAGAAAATAATACAGAAAATCATAATAATTCTATTTCAACTTATAAATTCTATTTCTATGGAGACTTTCAGCGGCTTCATCAAGGCTGGGGGTTAACCATTTGAATTTAGAATTTCATGGTCCCAAATGATGCTCAGGCCACCGCAGCCCAGATGATAGCAACTCCTCATTTTGCACCTATTGATTCACCTTCAGACAACCGGAGTAGATTTGGATGTGAAGCTCACTGAGACACTCGCAGGATTTCAGTGATCAAAAAGAAACACAAGATTAGTGCATATAAAAATATTCTTGAAAAATGACATGATTACTCTATTAACTGCTCTTAAAAGAATACAGGAAAATGGAGCAGTGGTGATTCTAAAACCCAAGATCACCAGAAGGGAAGTTAACAGAGTCAGGTCTGGTCCAGGAGGCTAGTCACAATGGGAGCAGAAACTGCAGGTGACAGAGTGCTATCTGAGGAGAAAAGAGAATGGGAAATGCAGGGGCATTCTAGGAAGTTGTCCCCTGTCCTAGTCTCTCTCTCTCTCT